CACGTTAAGATGCCCAGGCAGCCAAGACAATTTGCAACCATCCATTACAGGGCACAGTATTGCCCAGATGCACAAATGGCAAGTAAAGCTCGGAGCGTTATTTTTTTAGTATTGAAAAATCCTCTGACACGAAGGTAGCACCGAGTTACCTCTTGGCTAGGGTGTGCAGGTATTGTGCACGCCTCATAGGTTAGGTGTAGCTTTGGCGCACTAATCAGCCGAAATCTGGAAGCTTCACTGATTACCGCCTGGCAAGATGGGGCAGCATTTGCTCAAAGAAGAAGGCATCAAGCTTTTTGCGCATATCCTCCCACTCGTTCCTGTCGAACCAAATGCGCTCAATGCCAATCCACTTTTCCGAACACACGACAAAATCGCCCCACAAGCAGCCAGTTAGGGCCATCTGCCCAAGCACCTGAGCATAATACTCATGGTCGCTGTCCAGTTGGGGTTCACCATTTTCCCCGAACACCAAGGAAAACTTTCTTTTCTTCGCTTCCTCTGGCTCAGAGTCTTTCAGAGAATGGGGGCACTTGACCTCCAACACACCATATGAAAGTTCTTCCGGGTCGTACACGAGTCCGTCTGGTGTTGCACCCAACCAAGGGCACACAGGGTCTACCACAAGGCCGCAATGCTGCACTGACACATTGTGCCCGTAGCTGTTCATGACAGCTATATACCTATCTTTGGCCATGTTCTCATTCCTTATGCCATATTGCACCGGACGGACGTGCGTGAGGTCCTTCGGCTCAATGAGGTTACGGAGGCCCTTTTCCGTCCATGCCTGCCGCCTGACGACGTGGCCGAAAGTTGACGCTGTCAGTCGATTGGCCCGTGCCTGTCGCCAGCGTTCACTGAGCCGCTGCTGCCTTGAGTTCAGCTCGAGGTCCCGAGCTTCTTCTTGTGACAGCTGGATCTCCTGCACAATGTGGAAGTAAATATAGCATGAGAAAGCGCTAGAAACTTTTAACGGCTCAGAGCTTGCATACACTGTACTTTGACTACTAGCAAGACCCAATCAGCTCTCCTGCAGCCTAGCTGGTATGCCAATGTTTGTTTTCGGTACCGTGCTGCACTAAGATTAATAGCCAGTCATCAAAAGACAGATTTAGGAGCCACTTTTAGGAGAGTCAATGGCATGAATGGCAGAACAGCAGCAGCAATGAAATTGTGCTTTTTAATAAGAACAGGCAAGAGAGGAGCACAGTTCCCGGTTTTTTAAGCAAAGCTTGGATAGCTAGGGTTCCATATATTTTTTGCATTTGGATATAGAAGCTCATGAGGCTGCAAATGTTTTCAAAGCGCAATACAATAAAAAGAAGTCCACACGTGTGTCCCCTCATGTTTAAAATGGCATAAGCAGTGGATGGTGACCGCGCACATAAAAAAAAAAAACAACGGGGTGTTTGTCGTCCTCGCAAAAGTAGCTAGAGATTTGGGCTTGAGAGTGGCACACACCCCAACCGAGGCATCGGTGTTTGCACCACAGAATGAATGCGCACCTGAGTCGGGCTCCACCACCTGCCGCCGCAGCGTTAGCGCCCGGTCATCCCTATTCTAAAGCTCTATTGTTATAATGCAGGTTTGACAAAATCAGAGGACATGCAATCGACAGTGGCCCCAAGTTCGATTAAGTGTAAGTCTTGGTTTACATTACACTGATGCATTGAAATGAATCAAAATACGGATATTGGGTGGTAAAGCTAGCAAATAGCAAATGTTAGCCTGTAGAAGCACATATGAGTGAGACTGTTTAATAACCACACAGCTTAACATCCTTCAAAGCGTAGAACATAAAGCAATGATCTGCACTGATAAAATAAAGCACAGCATTAGTGCTGGGTTTGCCTGTAGTTTAAAAGTGCTTAACCACTATCATCACTGGGGCCATTGTCTTGGCATTTGTAACATTTGGTGGAAGCAAATAGGGCATTCATAATTTTCTCGCTTTCTCTTTTTACAGAGGACTGCATAAGAATATTTCTAGGCTGCATGTGCTCTACATCTAGGTCCACCTAATCAGTTAAAAGCATGAATGGTACACACTCCACCAGTGCAGAGAGAAGTATATTTTCTATACTGCACTTACAGTCAACACCCTCCATTCTTCAGCCGTGAATCTGCCGGGCAAGGGTGGCTGTGAGGCTCCGTCACTAAACAGAGTCAAAGCTGGCACTGGTGTCACGGTGGCTGCCCCTTGCGAAATGCTGGGTGACATCCACGTAGTGAAGCCTGCAGGGAGTTTTGCCTGCTGGTACGACAGTGCAGACCCCGCAGGCGCAGGCCCAAGCTTTGTGTCCACTGACGGCCCCCCAGCAGCAAGGAGAATGGCAGCAAAGTCGAAGGTCCCGAGGCTCTGGAGGTCCTCTCCCAGGCTATGGATCGCTTCAAGGTGTTGCTGCTCCTTTTGCTCCTCAGCCCGCGCATCAATGCCACCCTCACGTGGACTCCGCCAGTCCACGTTCTGCACGGCCATAGGCCTGATGCCTTGTCGTCGGGGGCGCCTCCATTGCTGCGGCAACTCGGTGCATGAAAGCTCTGGTGGTGCCTCTTTGAAGCCCTTCTGCTTCAGCAGAACAAGGAGGCGCAGAGCCGCAAGAATGTGGCTGCAGGCACCACCAGCCTCAGCAGGGCACTCACAAGTAGAATCTGCCACTGCTCCACTGTCGCTTTTCAAAGCCAAGCTGACTTTGTACGGCCGCCCACTCTTCTTCTGGCTTCGGTAGCACGTGGCACGTGCATAGACAATCCCGAGACTGTAAGAGCAACAACAACAACAAAAAAAAGAACTTTGTAAGCTGCACACAGTCAAGTTTGTCATCTTTTTACCGAGTGCCATATCACAAGTACGAATAAAGCGGTCGTGGCACTTGCCATGACAGCTTTATGCAAAGCAACAAGGTTATGCAACCTAGTCTCCACAAAGTAATGACTATGTCATTCGGGAAAACCCCTGCGCAGCTGACGTTACAGTGCAATAATACAAAACCTGCATGAAGTGCTTCGATGTGAACAACCTCTAGTAGAACATAAAAAAACACTGCTTTTTATTGACGAGTTGGAAAACCACATGCCAATGCTGCTGAAAAATCTCCAAACCAACATGCACCGAATGAATCAGGTTTTTAAGGAGTCCCACTGTTAACTTACGTTGACACTTGCGGTGAATCGGTTCCGTTCTTTCTAGCTGTCCTTGTAGACCCGTTTAGTCTAAATGTTTAGTGAACAAACTAGCGTACGTCGTGTTTTATACAAAGCAGCATGCGCACTCGAAAAGGCAGCTCATTAATATTAGACCAGTAATGCATACGTGCGGACGCGAAATTTGTTTGCGCAAAAAACTGTTTTCATAGTACGAGCGATGTCCTTCAAGGCATGCACACTGCACCACCGGAACAGCTGCGAAGTTCCTGCGCGACCACGCTTGCTGATCGGACGTGCTAAAAATAAACGCCAAACCATAGCCTCCTCTTGCCAAGCCATAATGACAAGTTATCCAAGCACGTGAGCACGCGTAGTGAAAGAAACACGCAGTGACATGACCGACCTCGCCGAGAACGCCCGCACGACGTTAACATCGGCGGCACTATTTGTACGTTGCTCCAAAAGGAAAAGCACTGCATGCTTTCAGAAGGTTACACAAAACGTCGCTTACCTACCTTGTGTCACAGGCGTTGGTCACAACCGACGACGGCAAGGTGTACGCTTCCACGGCGAAGGCATAAGATTTTGTTTGCTGCTTGGATGACGTCGGCGCCTGGTTTATTAGGTCCGCTACAGTGTCGTTCGATATATGCGGCAAGTTTTCTAAACTGTTTGTCCACATCACATGTTCGGGCACTGGGAAACGTCTTGCTGTGGCCATCGCAGTAGCTCAGCGCAGTGAAGCGGGTGTTCAGAAGTCGTACGGCCGTACTACGGTAGAACATGGACGGTAGAAATTTACGGTAGAACATGGACTTAGATTTAAATACGCGTTATTTTTTTATGAATGCAAAATAAAAACCATTTTACAAAATGCTTTGCATTCATCGAGATGTCGACACGTCTGTGTAGTGTCATTTATGCTATTTGGATGAAAATCCCTGAATTTCAACGAATTCAGTAATCTGTGGCAGAAGAGCCTTTTGAATTTTCAGTTTCGGTTTCTGCACCGCCGACGACGAAAATTGGCCGCACGCCGCCGCCGATGAAAAAACCGGCGTGCGCCGACAACACCGCCGCCGCCGACTGTGGACGACCGCCACGCCGTTGCCGGTCGAAATCGCCTCGATGCACACCTCTAATCATTCCCATGGTCGCTGAACGATCGCAGCGCCAGAGTGCCCTCTAGTTAATTTTGAGAATCTCTATGGGTCTTCGTACTTGGCCTTTAAAATTAACCACAGAGGAAGGAAAAGGTTCCTCCGTAAAAATTGGCAAATCACCGTTTGTTACTAGTTTCAGAGGCTGACAAATGAGTGCAAAACGTCTATCATGTATATCGGCGTCACTTACGTAGGGTTAATTATAATGACGTTTGCGCTTTTTAAAAACTTTTTTACCGTATTTTTGCTGCATATAGGCTTCAAAAACGTAAAAACTTAGTTGAATACACCTCTGTTTAGGTGGCGCTACTCTCATAGTTCCGACGACCACCGCTTTTTAAGTGACCGCATATAGTCCGGCAGGCAAGAGAAAATTAGGAGGCTATGTTCAAACTGACAAAAATTATTTCACCATAACACGGAGGAAGGAAAGGAAGGAACCTTTCCTTCCTCCGTGCACCATAACGACGCTAGCAATAATTATACCATATGTTCGATCATTTACAATTCAGTTTCAATAATACCTGATGCAAATCTACAAATTACTGTGAAAAAATTGCAAACAAAACTTACGCAGTCGGGGGTTATTTAAGGGGGTTCTCATGTACTCCGTTTATCTGTTCATATATATGTATGCTTACCCTTCAATAAACTTCAAAAAAAAGGCCACGAATGCTATTATCATCATCAGCAGCTTCAAGGCGGCGCGCGCAGGATCAGTTTGACTGTGCGGGTAGTTGGGCAGCGTCTGGTAGCGTTGTGAGCGTTGTTGCTTGCGTTGCGCTGCAACGGGCTAAACGGTATCGTCGACATGAGTGCAATGTCGGTGCTCGACCTCGTCAAGTGCCACGATGCCTCCATGCTGCTGGGCGCGTTCAACATGCACTGCATGCAGGAGGTTGGCGACGAAGACGGCGAGATCCGTGACTTGTTTTTCGCACCTGGAACAAAGCGTCTGGAGCTCCTTCGCTGGGTGCTTATCGCCATCGACCCGTCGGGAAAACACGCTCGTGAACTGAACACTGGCGACGACTGCACAGAGGAGAGCTTGACAAAAGTGCTGTCGTATTTGAATCCCCGTCGTGTAAAGGAATTTGCCGCTTTCGTCAGAGGCACTGCTCCCGTCCGCGAACAGAAGGTTATCTGGGAGCTGCTCCTGGGGACGGCAGATTTCGTTCAGAATACCCCCGAGGACGAGTCTTCGGGGTTCTCTACAGCCTCATGGTCAACGGCCATGACGTTCAAGCCGACGGTCGCCTCCACGCCCATGCCCCAGGTGGGTGGTTGTTACCGTTGGCCCACTTTACCTTCCAGCGAGCCGTCCTTCCGCGTCTCCCTCTCATCTGTCCAACTCCTTTCTTCGTGTGTGTACCGTTTGAGGTGTCATCTTCGAGACGCTGTTATTGTGCCCACCAAACCCCCTTTCTTGTTTCTCTACAGGATCGCCGATATTCCGTTGGGGCAGACAGCGGAGGGGGGGGGGGGGGGGAGGGCTCACGCCTTCACCTCTTGAGAGTTTCAAATTCTACATGCGTACAGCCGCCCATGCTTTTGTCTTGAACGTGTGAGCGTCGACAACCGAGCCAATAAGTGCCAGTTCCCGGAACAGCCTGGAAAACGACAGCTGCCCTAGACTGTTAATCTAACATATGCGCTTATTATTGTTAATATCGCAGCCAGAAAGCACCTGGCTACGCCTCTCGAGACTACAACATGTAAACTAATAACTGCGGGGCTTCACAAGCAGTTATCATCGCTGAACGCGAGAACACTACTTCCTGCCGAGTTACTGAACAGTCGGTCAGGAATATCTAATATAGGAATGACATTTCTTCTGTATTGACATGCTCTGTATATTTATCAGAACAGAAATTTTTGTGGTTCAGCCAGCATAAAAGAGCATAAAAAATTGTTTTAATGATTACGATGCTGCCCCTGACTCGCTGTACTGAGTGATGGAAAAAAATACCACGTTGGCATAGAAAGAACCTGTCGGTATGCGCTTTGTACATGTTTTGCCAAGCCATTCTGCAGAGGCTGCATTAGTGCAGTTGTCATTGGTGGGTATGTGTCGATCATACACTACAAGTAGCCTAGGGATTGGTGTACTCCCGGTAAATGGCTACTATAGCCGAGGCAGCAGGGTGACCATTGGTATGGAGCAAAACCTGCGGTCTGTGAACCGGATGGTCGACACTAGCGATTACCGACAGCAAAGTCGGAGGGTATGCTAGGACCATGATGTACAGTGAAAAATGAGTGCCTTTCTTCACAAAGACATGAAATTGTGAAGTGGTGAAAAATTTGTGCCCACAGGGTGTCACTGGAGCCGCTGTTTTGATCAGCAGGTTTGTCTTCAAAGCTACAACCTTGAAGATGTCAAGACAGCTTGTCCAAACAGAAGCTCCTTCGACACCCCATGCTAGAAAATTTATCATTGCTACCATTGTGCCCTGGACTTGCGACACATTCGAAATGAATGTTGCCTGCATTCAGCAGAAGAAAAAGGAAAAAAATGCTGTTGGCGTAGTAGTGTGAACACTGGGCAAGTTGGTAACGATTCATAGTTGGTCGCGGGAAACAGCCTGAAAAAACGAATACAGAGTAAAGGGAGTACACAACATGACCGCTGTGTCAATGTAGTGTTTCTGAAGGATAATTCAATCATTGTTTGCGCACACCGCAAGCAGGTAGATCTGCCTCTAGTACGTTGCGTGTGGCCATCTCCCCACGACATCACACTGCAATGGAATGCAACTAAGGAACCACCTTTTGATACCGGAACCAAAAGTGTTTCTTTTGAGGTAGTGGTGTAGAAGATATCGACATTGTATTCGCAGGCATCACAGTGATTTTTTTAGAGTTTAAAACAGTGTCATTTAGAATGCATCTCAGCGCTCCTTTAACTTTATTCTTTGCAGGTTGAGCAAGCCGGAGCTTCCTCTTCTAACGTGAAGCACGAAGGAACGGCCGCCAGATGTCTCTGGCAAACCGATGACCTGTCCGAAGCCGGAGAAAAGCGAGAGGCTGAGACAGAATATTTGGACAATTTGGTATGCTACTCAGACATTCATGCCTCATTCACACCTGCCACTAGTGCCAGTCACGTGAACATTTGAGACTGGCAACTAAAGAGCAACAACAAAGGGTCCTCATATTTGCACCTGCGGGCAACGTGCGCCCTCTGTCACCCAGAATTCATGTCTGCTCGCCATAGGTTGGCAAAACCTGTGGAGCTCACTCAGACTCGCTCATGAAATACATTTCGCACTTTGGACTCATTCGGCCTCATAATCATGAAATTTTTTTCAGCCAAAATCACAAGCAGTCAAACTCTCCAAAATATTATTCACCCGAAATCACTCAAGCTCACGTCTCAATCTAGTGAGTCAATGCATGAGTTTGTTTGCATAGAATCACCTTTTACGACCAATGGGTCAATGGTCTTTAAAGAGCCCTTGAAACACTTTCTCAAGTAAACATTTAATTGATTAACTAGAAAACCTTATTGCATCATGAATTCGATGCCGCAAAAATTTAAGAATCCGAGTAGTACGTGCGAAGTTGCAAACATTTTTCACACGCTGCAATCGCATTCTCTCATCCGACGTCCAGATGAAAGCACTGGAAGCTAAGCAGGGAAGGATGGCAGGGGCAGACAAAAATACATCAGGCGCACCTCGTGACCTTGAGCACTTTTTTTTCTTCGAGTACGCAACTTTTCCGTGTGATCGCGCGTGCATGTGTACACAAGCCACAGCCTCCTGTGGTGATATCTGTAATGACTGAGCACGCCATGTTCAAATCAGCCAATGCCTGATAGATAGCCTTCTACAAGTGATTTTTGAGTGTTTTCTATTATTTGTTAAAAGAAAAGAAAGCAACCTTTAGCTATATTAAATGATTTATTGTCAATTTCAGGCCGGGAGCAGTGTGCGCTTTCTAAGGAGCCTCTACTACCGATCGGCAGCATTTTCTGACCATGCTCAAAAATTGTTGCAGGGCTCCTTTAACACCGATATCTTGCGTATTTGGTGCTCTTCTTGGTGCTGTTTGATATAGTACATTCGAATATGAGTCACGAGTGCTTGCATACTATTTAGATCACTTTCTTTAAAGGAATGACAACATAAGAAATGTTCATCGAGAATGTACCCGAAAGAGTAGGCAATGGAGGGGAAACAGGACGTCTAGGCACTCTGTTGCATAAATCACACCTCTGATCAATAAATAGTGGATTGGTGTATGAATGAGATCTCTTTGGTATAGGTGTGAATAGATATGAGTATAAACTTCAATCCATGTAAGGCTGATAGCAATGCTGAAGAGGAGTCGATGGGAGGATAAGCTGGCAAAAGAAAGTGCAACCTGCTCAAGAAATATTACTGCGCATTGGACTCATTTGGACTTAGACTCACAAAACTCTTCCTGGGACAAACTCGCTTGGACTGGCACTCGCAAAAACGGTCTGCAACCGGACTCGCTCGGACTCTCCAAAATATTCCTGTCCCGTACTCACTCAGACTCGTGGCTTGATCTGAGTCCGAGTTAGTCATCTCATGAGTGAGTTTGCCGACTTATGCTGCTCGCATTACCACAGCTCCACAAAATGAACTGACATCCTCTTCCTGCACATCTGATGGGTTCATTTTGTTGCCTAAGACGTGCGACAGCCATTTGCGGCCATTTGCAGCTAGTTGCTTAGCAGTTAGCGTGGCCACGTGACTGGTGCTTGTTGCTGGCGTGAAGGAGCCTATAGAATTGACCTTCAAATTGTTGAACGTTTCTGGAGCCATAGAATCTTGGTTTATTGAGGAGTTGTAGACCTTGAGCTAAAGGTGTTACAAAACGTCTTGACCCTTTGTAGCGCCGCCTTTGTTTTTGAATCGGCGATATAAAAAACAGCTGTGGTATATTGATATAAACTACGAAGATGTAGTATGAAACAAATATCGTAAAAAGTTAAACCTGTAGTTCAGTGGAAAAATGTGGGACATATATTTCCCACTGACTCATGGGCGTGTTTTGAAAAAGTGGGAAAACACTGTCCCCCTGCCTCATAAAGGCACCATGCCCTGATTGCTTCAATGAAACGGATGAAACGGCTGAAGTAGGCACAGAGTGTCACTTTTCAAGTTGTGAAGAGGAAAAGTTGTGCGGTCCTTATTTTAAAAAGAGAACACCATTTGCAGTTGTGCCTCTTGTGAGCCTCCAGAGCGATCTGTTCCGTTCATGTAAAGCTTACTTCACTGTAAGGCCATACTATGCTTTTGTGCTTATTTTACTGTCCTCATTTTTGCTATCGAAACAGTAGTACAGCTGTTGTGCCTGAATATGTGCCTACTTTTCGAACAGTATATGCTATAAAGTAAAATATTTCCATGAACTAATGTCTGCTGTTTCGCTAAGGGATGAGCGAGGCGATTCCGCAGGGAATCGTTCGTACGCATTTATCGGTTAAGTTATTGTGCGCATTTGCAAAAATATGTGATGACTTGAAGCTGAAATGACCTCTCAGAGAAATCTAGAAAAAGAGGCAATCATCCGGCATTATGATTGGCCAGTTCTATCTCAAAAAGTTTCCTAAAATTCAGAAGCTGTCATGAAAAAAATGACAGAACTTCAGCACCATTAAAACACTACTTCCACCATTCAAAGACGTGGTTAAAAAATTTTTCTTTGAGACTATGAAGACTCAAGTAATATATGAATGACAGAGTACTGCTCTAAATGCAATGGTTAATGTAAAATAAACTTTTTTTTTCTAGGTGGAAAAGTGGGACGTATGTGTCTCAGTGTTGCGCAACAGTTGAAGGAGGTATGGTCAGGCAGATCAACGAGAAAACTGATGTTATTATTTACTTACTAGAAAATAATACACACTTTGAGGAGCAGGATCGTGCATTGGCGAGCCCATTGGAGTGCTCCAAGCCTTTTAAAATAGCGTCGGAAACTGTGCTTCCTAATCAAATCTTCAAGCACTACTTCATTGTTCCGGTCTATAGGCATTTTCTTTTTATAACTGAGAGCAGATAGGCTGAAAATATTGATTTCTTTCCTACTATTTTTGTACTTTCTGATCACAAGATTTCTCAACAAAATGCATATTTAGCATAATTGTTACTGTACATTGTGAGCCCCTCCTGAATAATGTCTGAATAATGGTTAAACAATATATAAATTGAAAGTCTCCCTCTGGGCATGCGACAAGTGGGGACAATATTTTTTTTTTCTACATTAAATATAGAAGCCTGTTTTTGAAGGTTCGGATTAATACCAATGTAATGTTGAATAAGTGTGCCAAGTATCACGCTCATACTATTATTAGTTTTCAAAGTTCATGCGGGTCAAAGTCCTTGAAAACTCTTAATTTTGAAAAGTTCATTTTCAAGGCCTGAAAGTGCTGGAATATTCACAAATCCTTGAATTTGAAAGGAATTAAGAGCATTAGTAGCTTCTGCACGGAACCAACACTGTGCCTTTCTGGAAGCTCAGAAAAAGGCAGGAGGATAACATACGGAAAAACAACTGTTGTATTCAAGAAGAGGTGGAAATGCTTGCAAAACAGGAAAAGAAACTAGAAGTTGCTGTTAAGGTATTAGCAGCTACAGCAGACTCTTATGCAGAATGACAGAGACAATTAGCAACCTGGCAAGCATAATCACGTCAGACATCCTTAGGAAGACTGCCATGATCAAGCAGCTGGAGGCAGCAGATATGGATTTAAAGTTTGGAAGAAGCAACAACGTGTTGCATAATAACTGTTTCTTAGATTTTTCTATCTCGATAAAACTTTGAATCTTGTGTCATGCTGAAAGTGATTACCTATGCAACTTTGAAAAACTATTATTGAGAGTTGTCTAGAAAGGAAATGTCATTGGAGCCACGTTTTTGACATCTGCTTCAGTGTTGATTCCCTTTTTTGATGAATTCAAGTATTTCGAGCCTTTATTTTCTTCTGAAGATGTCTTAATTGGGCTTCAACCATACAGTGGTGTCCTGGAAAATTTGAACTCTTGGCCTTGAAAGTGCTTGAATCTTTCTGATGCAAACGAGCATGAACCCTGCATTTTCGAGAAAATTTTGTGCACCTTTGGGTAGTTTGGTGCTTCACTAGAAGCAAGTAAGAAAAGCTAGATGATCAAAATTTTGCAGACAGAAGGCCACTAGCTCTTTCGTTAAGCATTCAAAATTTCACAACAAACTATGGTACTGTTCCCGAGTATGAAGTGGGAAACCGAGATAACCTTTTCACTTACCATATTCCATGAAAGGGGCCCTGATACACTTTTTTGAGTAACTATGGAATTAATTCACTAGAAAAGCGTATTACCTCAGAAATTGAACGCCGCAAAAATTCAAGAATCTTTCCAGTATGAGCGGAGTTACAAAAATTCGTCACACGCTGCAATCACCTCGTCCCGACGAAAGCGTTGGAAGCTGAGCAGGGAGGGACGGGAGGCGCAAACAAAAAACGTCACTTGTGCTTCGTGACCTGGAGAAATTTTGTTTTTCTTCAAATACGCGTTTTTTTTTTTTTTTAGTGCGATCGCGCGCAGCGACGTGGACAAGTGACGGCCTCTCGCGGCGACCTGTGTGA